CATAAAATGAAGGGGAAAATAAATATGTACAAAAATCTTTACATTGTGCAGAATTGAATGTAATATAGGTGTAATAAAATACAATATAATTAATTATAATAAAGCCAATAAAGTCTTCAATAATGTCATTCTTAATTCAAAATAAAATGTTAATTTATTAATAAACCCCATTTTCGATAAAGTTGTTGTTTTGGACATGCAGGTTTATTTACACATTGAACTTGTGGCGATGAGAAAATGTTAACATAGGATCTCAAGGCCAAAAATTAAGTGAACCGAACATCACCGTATATTATCTCTCTTCTCTCACCCAGACCTCACCTGGGCATCTCTGTCACCTCAGTCTCTCTTCTGTCTCATCTGAGTTGTCTTCATCTCATCTGCCTCTGTTGTCTCTCTCCTTCCAGGAAGACTGTGGAGGAGAGTCAGAGATCGCGGCGGCGGCGCACGCTCATGCCGAGGGAACGCTCTGAATCCATGAGCTCCAGCTCCATTTACTTCACCGCCAGCGCCGGGGTCTCCAGTCTCTGTGACGACAGCGAGGTCGGGTAAGTCTTGTGTGCCAGGATGCCGTGTAGCTCTGGAGGCTGTGTTCGTTTCAGCAGTTGAGCTCTTCACAGGTACTCCACGGCCTATTCCAACGCCGAGTCCGACTACACGGACAGAGAGACGGATCGCGAGACGGATAAAGATGGTGAGGATGACGGGAGGGACTCTGAGGAGGAGAGCTGCGCCACGGTGCTCACTCTGAGACAGGACGATTCACAGGCCGAGGAAGAGGACGATGAAGATGCCGGGCTGATGGTGGACTGTTTAATGGACATTCCCAGCCCTGAATTCGCCCTCCTGCTCGCCCAGTGTGATCTGCTGCATGCAGGGGATTCTGGGAAAAAAGCAGAGGGCTTCCAGCTGCTGATGGAGAACAGACCGCTGGTGAGATATTTAATGATAACTGAAGAGATATATGAAAAATATGCACATTTTTGGATAATATTCAGCGTAAAAGCATTACTGTAACATGATTGTTTTGCTTTCTTACTAACTTTTATTCAGCAAGGATGCATGAGATTGATTAAAAGTGTCAGTAAATGCAATTACATTTTAAAAAATATTTCTATTTCAAATAAATACTGTTCTTTTTAACTTTCTGTTCATCAAACATATTAAGAAGCACAACTGTTTTCAACACTGATAATAAAAAGAAATGCTTCTCGAGCAGCAAATCAGCATATTAGAATGATTTCT